TTTTGGTCTTTTTAAGACAGGGTCTCCCTGTTGCCCCAGCTGTCCTGAACTCACTATGTAGACCAGGCTGTGGCCTTGAACTCACAGAGATCCACTTGCCTCTACCTCCTGAGTGCTGGTATTAAAGGTGTGCACCACCATGCCCGGCAGATTAGACATTAGTAAACTTTTAAGTTGAGAGGTTAACTTTAATGATTTGACAAATGGATGAGACCACATTTAGAGTTACACAAACACACATAGCAGGCTTTTTTTTTTTTAATTACCAGGGAATTCTCAGGTTAATTGACATTCATAAACGAACTTCAGATTAACAACTCTTTAAAAATGTAGCTATGGGGAAGAAAAACATTGTTCTATTTAGTGAAAATGGACCCTAGCATTTTTGGCTCTTGATAAGATTAGTTTTCTGAATATTTACAAAAAAAAATCCACCCCAAATCTTATCCCTGTCTATAACAATCTCATTGCTTCACGAAATGGACTGAAATATTTTAGCAAGAGAAAACTGAACCCAAAGGAGAATTGCCTGTCAAAATGGAAAATGTCAGTATCTCATGAATAAATAATACTTACTTTATCCATTTCCTGTTTGAAAGTGGCAAACACTTCATTGCTTTTTGTCAGTGTACTCTGGAACTCTTCAAACCTTCCTGAGTAGAGAGTAAGCTGTAAACAGAAGAAAGAGTACATCTATTTTAGGGCTGCTTTCCGAATGCTTCCAGAACAAAACAACATGTCACTGTTCATTATTTGAGAAGGAAAATTATTTAAAGATATTCTCAATACAGGGTTAGTCGTGTTCAGTTATTTGATTTACTACAAGGTCAACCTAGGTTGGTGATTGTGATTAAAATGCCCCCTGTAAGCCCCCAGGGCTATGGTTACAGGCACATGCTGCCAGGCCTGGCTTTTACATGGGTGCTGCGGATCCAAAGTCAGTTCTTTCTGCTTTTATGACAAGCACTTCACCCACTCAGGTGTTTCCCCAGCTGAAATGTTTACTTGATTTCTTTTTTGTTAAGGATTCTATACATGCATATAATGTGTTTTGATCAAATCCACTCCCATTCCCTCCCCTCTAATTCATCCCCTTATCCACCACCACTTTTCCCTCCTAATTTAATGTCCTCCCTTTTTTCTTTCAAATCCATTGAGTCCACTTAGTGCTGCCTGAAATGTTTCTTTAAGGAAAGATGAAATATGTCATTATAAATTCATTTTATCATAATTTCTGTAAACATTTATTGAGTACGGAACATATGCATACAAAATTATCAAACACATACATCCTGCTTTGAGGGATTTCCACTCCTAATGGGGAGACAAACTGAGTGACAACTTGACTGTGAGATGCTGAATACAAATTGCCAAGTCAGACCAGGTGTGGTTGTGCACGCCTTTAATCCCAGCACTTAGGAGGCAGAGGCAGG